GCTGGGCGCCCACCGGTGTCCTTTTGGGTTGGGCACCCATCTGTGTCCTCTTTGATGCTGGATACCTGTTTGTTCCCTTGTCTGGGCACCCTCCCACGTCCCCCGGGGACTGGCTGGCAACCGTGTGCCTCCCCCCACCCGTGTCCCTCTGGGGTCCTGGGCAGCAGCTGAAGGTGAACAGGTCCCCTGCCCGTCTGCTGAGGGTTTTGTACAGCTCCCTCCCTGCTGTCTTCGGGCAGCAACCCATCTGCTTGAAGCTCTCCTTGCTGGGGCTTGATACGACTAATCCAAAAGCTGTTCTGTGAGTGCTGTTCCTTGGTAAGAAGGGCTCAGCCCTGTGTCGGGGGGGTCTTGGCACTCCCCTTCTCACAAGTGTGTCTGGGGCTCAGCACTAACTGGGTGGTTCAAGGCTCTCCTCCCAGCCTAACACAACCTTGTGTTATCAGCCCTAAGAAGGGATGGTTTGTTTGCTGCTGTGCTGAGATAAGGGGCTAGCAATGTGCTCCTGAACTTAGAGAATGACCTGGCTGCTACTCCCCGACTGTGTTTTGTTGTGGGTGATATGTTACCTACCCTGGCCACCCCTGTGCTTGCCGTGAGAAGGTGTTGGTGCTGTGACACTGTCCTGCCTAGGGTTTCTAGGACCCAAAAAACTCTTTTCCTGTGTGTTGGAGTGACCTGTGGCTCAGTAGTTGAGCACTCAGCTCTGGAGCCACTGTCTGATGGAGGCAGCTGAAGGAGGGCTTGGTTTCCTCTGCCTACAGCGAGGTGTGGGACCCCCTCGGGACTGCAGCAGGATACAGACCTCTTCACAACTGCCAAGCGCCTGCTCACAGCTCTTCCCTTCTCGCTTCCCTTGCAGAGCACTACAAACATCACTGGTTTCCCGAGAAGCCATTCAAAGGCTCTGGGTATCGCTGCATCCGGATCAATCACAAAATGGACCCCATTATCAGCAAGGCAGCTAGCCAGATCGGACTCAGCTTACCACAGCTCTACCAGCTCCTGCCCAGCGAGCTCACGCTCTGGGTGGACCCCTTTGAGGTCTCGTACCGCATCGGTGAAGATGGCTCCATCTGTGTCTTATACGAAGCAACTGCAACGAAACCTGTGAGCTCCTACGGGATGCTTACCTGTAAAAACCAGATGATGTTAGGTCGCACCAGTCCTTCCAAAAACTACATGATGGCTGTCTCCAGCTAAATATTCCTCTTGTCCTTAACACTGCCAAGACACAGGCTACTGTATACCTCACCTGAGGATCTATTTTTAAGATGAAGAGCTATTTATATTTTTTAAAAAAATCCAAGAAAATCCAAAATTAAAATATTGGGCACTGCTTTGAACAGAAGCAGTGTTCTAGGTGCCTTTTTTAAAGCTGTTGCAAGCTTGAGTTTTTATTATGAAGCCGATATCTACCTAATTAGTGTTGGATGGCAATTTTGGGCTGGTTTGCTCACTTGGGCAGCTTGGAATGGAGGATGGGGGAGAAGAGCGAGGCTGGGAAGTGTGGCTTGGTGGTGGGAGGTGTGTCACCTTCTCACCATCCTAATACCCACCAGTATTGCTGTATCACCAGGTATCGCAATACTGTTGGAGAAGGGATGAAAGAGTTGCTGCCTTTCCTCCATTAACTTCACTTCCCAGCTGGTCTGTTCTCCCTGGGGGCTGGATAGAGTATTTGGGGGAACCTTACCTCAGGGCTGGGTGGTGCTTGGGACCCTGGGATCCCTCTCCTTTGCTCTCGCATGTCTCCTCTGGACCCACTTTGTGAGTGTTGCAGCGGTGCTCTGCCCAGCTCCCAGCACAAAGCGAGGGGAAGCCTGGCTTGTCTCCAGCCCTTCCATCTTCCCTGTCTGCTGCTGGACTGGGTGTTGGTGTCCTGTGAACTGGAGCAAGGCAGAGATGCACTAGGGGTCACGCTGTGCAGAGGAGGTCCCCAAGAGCCATATTGCAGCTACTGTGGTGGCACTGGAATACTGTTTGTTCCTGGTGCTCCCCAGTACCTGACTGTCACCCGCAGCTTGCTGCACCCTGAGAAGGGTGCTCTGGACCTGAAGCCAGCACTGAACTGCTGGGAACCACAAAGCCTTGCTGCAATGTGGAGCTCAGCCCGTGACCTGCTCTTGTGGGGCCTCTCTGTTCTCCAAGAGTGGAGTCTGGCCTCTCTGGCTTGCAAAAGTTGCCTGATCCAATGCGGATGACTTGCCATGTCACCTCTCCAGAAGAGCTGAAGCAACTCACCTTTTGTGCTAGAGGTTGGTGTGCGAGAACCCCCTTTGTCCTGTCTCTTAAAATCAGAAGTACTGGGAGGAGGGGGGTGGGGTGTCTCTTCCCCCAGTGGGTGGGATATTGAGATGCTTTGGTGTCCTAACTGTGCTTTTAAAGTCTCAGCACTTCTTCCCTCTCTTCCTCCTCTGGGTGATCAGCATGTGGTTGTCCCTGAGAGCTGTATCCACTCATACCTTGGAAAGGGGCATTGTTTGGTTCTGATCTCTTGGTACATAACTGTTTTGCACAATTAATGCCTGGTCCTGTGCTCTGTCTGTTCAAGCAAAACTCCTCTTGGAGTCCCAGTGGTACTTGTATTCAGGGAGACTTTGCCTGGGTGGTGTTCAGGATTTGGCCTTTAAACTGCTCTGGCTAACTACAAATGGGATGGGAGCTGAAAATGCTGCCCCAAGAACTTTACCTGTCTGTCGGGAATGAGCCTTTACCTGGATTTTGTGTGTCCACTGCCTTTTTACTAACTAGCTGGTGCTCCTCTGGAGATCCTGGGAGAAGCAATTGAAAAAGCAGGGCATTGATGTGGTGGTTTGTAATGAAACTTTCCCAGACCTGTCTCTTGGCACACTTTTTTTACCTTCTTCTTTTCTGACCTGGCAGCTGACTGACATAACCAGAGTTGTTCTTGCCCAGCCTTTGATGAATCAAGTTCTCAGACATTTGTGCAATATATTTCCAAATCTTGGGCGCTCTGGGAGAGGAAGGAAGCCTCCCATCTGCCACAGTTCTTAGGTTGTTTTTCTAATAGATTAAAAATTCAGCACAGCTCCCCAACTCTGACTACTAATGTAGAAAAGTAAGTTCAGATTTTTGTAAGCTTCAAATCATGAATTCCAGAACTGGAAAACCAGCCTCAATTCTTAGACCCTTTGAAAACGTCAAGTGGTGAGTTGATTGTCCTTACAGTAACAGCAGACTGTGGCTCTGAAGTTGCATCACTTCCCTCTACATCACTTGAATTTCTCATGTCAGCAAAGCAGAAGTTCAACTGAAGCACTGGGGCTTCTCCCTTGGTGAACTTGTGCAATAGGTGACCTCACCAGGAGGGGAGGACTTGGGAACTTCCAAAAAGCAAATTCTCTTTTCAAGGAAAAGGGATCTTGGTGCTTTTTGGTGTCCTCGCTTAACCTGCTTAGGTGGAAAGCCCATGATGAGAACTGCATCCAGGATGAGCAGTGTTAGCTTGGCTGGACTCCTCGGCTGGATGTGGAGTCTCCTGAAGGCTGGTACTTCCGTGGGTTGTAATTTGTCATGATCAAAGCACTCTTAAGATATACTCCCCCTTTTTACTCTGTTCCCTCCTTCTTACCAGAATAGTTTTTCAGGAAGGACAGCCCACACCAAAGGAATACACTATAATTGCTCTTAACATGCCCCCACTTCCACAACTGAAATAGCCAAGTCTCATTCTTTTTGTCCCTGGTGTGGAGGAGTCTGATGTTAAAGGTGTCTGGTTTTAGCTTCAACCAAACCTGGGTATAATCCATTTCTCTCTTGTAGCTGGTTACATGTACAAGCTGTGAATTAGTGTGCTCTGTTGCCTTCTGCCTACAAGCCTTGTACTGAACTGCAGAGCTGAATGGTGTGTATTTTAAGACAGTGTATTTGAGGGGTTTCCTGTAATTTTTTTGAACAAGCTGGACTGTTGAACGGGACCTGCTTTTTGTATTTGGTGAAAATGGTAGAAAGTTTGTAAGCTACACTTGGAGGAGGGAGTGGATGGTTACTAATTGTATAGTAGTGTTTTTATATACAGAATGTACAGATCCTTTGACAGATGTATGCTTTTGTTACTTTAATAAAAATGTAGCAGTATAAATGAGCCTTTTTTTCCTTGCTAGGAACTGTTGGATGCTTGCAAGGAGGGCGAGGGTTGGGATTGCAGCCTAAACCCTGCCCTGCAAATGCTGTGGGCTTGGCTAAAGTGTGGGTGACTTCATATCCAGCTGTGTCAAGGAGGAGGTTTTAAAAAAAGAGCTGCTTAGTCAACATGCTGACTCTAAACCTGATCATCCAAACCTGAGGAATTAGGGCTGGGAATTGGTCTGATGACTAATGCAGGGCTGTGGGTGTCCTGCCCTCTCCTTCCCCAGGCTGACTGCTGGGTTCTGGCTTGGGCAGCAGGGGATTTATTCAGTGCAGGGTTGTAGGAATCCTGTGTCCTGCCGGGCCATGAATGTGTTGTGTAATTGACTGTCAGATATCTTACCCAACCCCAGGAATGGCATAACTGAAGTTTTGGGAAGAAGCAGTTAGTGATCTGAGGCAGGCAGGGCAGTTCCTGGTTAAGCCTCTGCCTCCACTGTTCTTCTAAGGGTGACTGAGCCAGCAGAGGAGGAAGGATGAATGATCATGGGACTGAAATGCTCAGGTATGTGGAGGATGCTTGGGGCCTGTCATGATAAAAGCAGCTGGGTTGATTCACGAGATCCTGTTTTGGCTGTGTCGAGAGGCTGGTGACTGCCGCACGGAGCTGTGACCCTGCCATGAGGATGTCCTGCTTGTGTGTAACCCCAATCTGTGCTCATCTTCAACTCGACCTGATTGAAGGACCTCAGCTAAATCAGCTAGTGCTAGTTTCAGTCTGAAACTCAATTTTTATGGAGTTCAGGAGGGCTTGAGTTGCAGCCTGTGACATACTTGGGACTCACCCCAACCTTTTCCCTGTGCTGGTACCTCCTGGAATGGTGATGCCAAGGTCGGGGGGGGGGAGGGGACATGGCACAGACCTGGTCCTACCACTCTCCCTGGTGGGGCTAAAGCTGCTTCCTCCCCTCCTGCTTTTACCATAATATGCCACCTCTGAGACAAAAACACTTTGTGGGCCAATTTTGGTGGTGTGTGGAAGCCACTCCTTTTTGAACTCATCCCTTCATTAGTTTCCATAAACACACCCAAATTGCTGCTGCTTGTGAAACAGGGCTGTCAGGGAGGAACGGGCGTCCCATTCAGCTGCTGATTACCTTGGGAGTCATCGGGTTCAAAGGCTTGGTGAAGTCAGGTGATGGCAGCCTTCCTCCCTCTGGCTTGTCTGGACCAGCGTGGACTGCCCGGACCTGCGTGCCATGGTCCGTGGCCCACTTTCAGGCTGGCATAGTCCATGGCCAGCCTGCTGTGGTCCTGCATGCCACAGCTGGCATTTGGGCCACCAGGCAGAGCCAAGACCATCTAAAACTTAAGTTGCTCGTAGCCAAGATAAAAATACAGCTCTTACACCACGGAGTGTTTAGTGAGGAGTCAATGCTAGTCTCACTGCAACCAGATCCCCCCGACAGCCTTTTAATAGCTGACTCATCTACTATTTTAATTTTCGTTGTCATTTTTCTTCTTGTAGGATTGTGATACCTGGTGTACAAGCTGGGTTAGCTTTGGAGTCTGTCTTTATTTCCTCCCTCCAAAGCCCTTTCTAGGCCTTTCCATGCCCAGCTGCAGCTCTCGGCACATTTTCTCATTGCGAGACTTGAGCACATCCCCGGATCAGCTCAGGGGTGCAGGAGGAAGGGAGAGTGGAGGCACAGCTGGAGCATGCACCAGGGACCCAGCTGCCCCCCAACATGCTTGAAGCAGCTCTGAAAAAGTCTGCCCACCTGCCTGGTGAAATCTGGACTTGTTTTCTACCCTTTTGCTGTGTTTCTGTTGGGATTTTTAATTCAGGGAGGGCAGAGAAGTGTCCGATTCAGAGCCTGGGTCAGATGTTGTCCTGTAATCAGTGAGCGGTGTGTTGCACAAAGGAGCATTTGCCTTGGCCGTGTCCTCGGTGAGAGCTCGCCCCTTTTCCCGGCAGCCCTGCCTGCCTGCCTGCTTCCCGGCACCCTGCAGGACAGAGGAGCTCTGCTGGCACAGGGCTTAAATCCATAGAGGGTGTAATACCCACCTAGATGTAAGTTATCCCCTGTAAAAACCCTGCTGCAGGGAGG